GTACCTACCCTTCATATTTTTCTTCCAACAATACATAAATGTAGCTTTAGCTATGTTCTATGATAAAAAGATTCCAACTGCAGCTTTTTTCTCTCCTCTCCAAAGTGGGTTCTTTCCCATTCCTTAAAAAGCAAAACAAAAGCCCTCTTGCTCCCCAGTCATCCCCCTAGTACATGGCACCATTCTGGCTCATTACTTCTTACATCTTGCTACCTGTGTTTGTGCAGAGCCACTGACTACTAAGAAATTTTATCTGCAACTCTGCAGAAGTTTGGTAAGCTGGTATAAGGAAGTAAAAGGAATGCAGAACATAGGGTCATTAGAGACCATTACCTTCTCCATATAGGTTAATATGTTCTTTAACATACTCTCTTTAGTGTTTGTATATGTAACACAGGAAAATAAACCTACTCAGGGAGAATTAACTGGTGTTCATTCCTTAATAAATACCCACCATCAGAAGAAACAAGATGGAAGGAAGAGCCCAGGGAAGATGAAGTATATTGATTAAATGCCACTGAGTGGAGTGAATAAATGAAATTCATCAAGAGTTTAGTATCCTTGAGTAGATATTTTTAAACAGTTTACCCATTATAAAGGACATATATCATTCCTTTTCTCATTTGATCTTGCTCTTGTTTTAGCCAAGAATACCTGCTGTGAAATGTGTTCAGTGTGTATGTGTACAGCTGGAGAATGTGCCCCAACATGCTTTGCCTTTGGCCTTTAATCTGGAGTCATAAAGAAGCAGACCATATTGATGAGCTTGGTACCCAGACTGGTGCACCATTCAATTGGATGCCGGGTCTCTGCTAAAGAGAGTCACAATGAAGAGAATCTTCAGATCTCTCTTGCTACTCTTCTGTTATTCTGTTGTTAGGCTTTGTTTCCCTTGAATTTTTTAAGCATGCACTTTTAAAAACAATTAATAACAAACACTAAGATTTGGTATAGAATTGCATATTTGCAACTGCAAAGGTACCAGTATTCAACTATTCTGTAACAAGGAAAGAAAACCAGGAAGAGAGACAAATGTGTTTCTCTGTAACATCACAGACATATGAAATTGTTCACATCTTATGGAGATACGGGGAATAATTCAACATGGAAATTTAACCAGTTATTTTCCACCTGTGAATAAGGTGCATTTAAAAGTGCATCATTATATTTAGATTTCTCTCTTTTTTCCTAAAATCACCTTGTAGCTTCTGGTAGAGGGACACACTGGGAGAACTCCCCATATACAAAGATATGAATTTTAAGATAGAGCATTATAAAAATATTCCTATATGTGGCACATTTTTACATAAATGTTTTTGTTTAGAAATTATAATCTGAGTGAAAATGACTTTGGCTTTTATGATTAACTATTGATAAAAATGTTAGCCTTTAATATCTGGATTCAAATCTGTACTAATCATGAACTTTCATACATTTCAAAGAAAGGATTTGGATTGAATGAAGACTGAATGAAAACAGGAGGCTGGAACATCCTATGCGCTCCTGTGTCTATTCTGAATATTTATGTAATATTCTGACTTGCCTATAATCTATAATTCTTAGCTATTATTTCAGCTGCAACAATTTTTAGATTAATGGTTATAATTTTGGTAAGGCACACATGAAAAGTTATATGTTCATGCTTGAAAGGAGGATCATTAAATATTCATTATTACCCCTCAAATTAGTTGTCATGCTCCATATAACAGTTACCCATTATCATTTCACTAGTTTAGATTCAGCAATAAGTGAACAGCCATATATATGGCTCATAGCAGGTAGAGGAAGTTTTTTGGGGGGTAGGGATGAGGAACAGGGAGGGAAATGATTTTAAAATCTATTTGACATGTTTACGTTGACCAATTATTTACAGGAAGTTAATGTCAGTAAACATGTTTGTTGGAATAGAATTGTGGCTGGATTTGCTTCTAGCTGTTTAATTGCTCAGACTGTGAAAAACAGTACATCTTAAAATAGTTTTGAGGGAAAAATTATAAAGGTTGAGATATTTTAGTCTTTTGCACATACCTAACCTTGCAATGAAAAGTGCTTTTCATTTTTATAACCAGGCATTATAGCTTTCAGTGAAGCTACATTGTATAATTTGTTAGTTTTCCCCATCTGGCAACAAATCTATCCTTGAAAAGTAAAAAGTAAAATAAGATATTTTTATCAATATTTTGGATGGACATATATAGATATCATGTCCCATTTCAGAAAGATAGGGAGAGAAAATATAAATGTATTTTTAGTATTAAAATACTTTGCTTTTTTCTTCCACGTACTTTGGTACTCCAGTTCAGTTAGATGAAGACGTTAGAACAGCCACTTTTTTTAAAATCACATACACAAATCATTTCATACTCCTCAATAATTCTAAATTGGTTCTTTTCTCAGAATATAATCAAATTTGATTCTCATCTAACTTTAGAACTTTTTGTCTTAAAAGAGTCAAATTATAACTGATGAACACATTTTGCATTTTTCCATATTGCATCTGGATTCTTCATAATGATGGTTTATTTTTTCTGCACAGAGGAGAGAAAATATATAGGTTCATGAATCAATCTAGGTAATGGGGAAGGCTGAATGTAATAAATAATACAGTAACAACCCTAAACTAATGAGCTGTTGCTAAGGTACATTTCATAGGCTCATCCTCTATATAAAAAGTCACTAATAACCCCTTGGCATAATCAGATGATAAAGCTTTGCCATAAGGCAACACCTGTGCAATTAAAACTGCAGATTCTTTTGCACGTTTCATTAATTTCAGGATTTTGTAAAGGCACAATGACTACACTAATAATCTAGTCTACTTGACTCCGTGTCTACTGGAAACAAAGTGTCTAATTAGATAAAGGTAATTAATTAGAGATAAATGGAGCTAATCAGACTCAGTTAACACTAATTCTCTGAATTAAGACATTTTGGGACACCTACCATCCCGCTGACTTTGATATTTTACATTAATAATAGGTTCTAGAGGAGTCAGAAAATATTGGCATTTGAGAATTGAGCAGTCTTTTGATGGCATATTTAGGCATCTGAAGCTAAAGGAGTTTTCTTTCATATTGTGTTATTTCACCACCTTTCTGTTGGAGCTTAAAGAATTCACTTTGTAGTTATTCCAATCTGTGCTTGTCTCCATATAAATTTTAATAACCTTTGCTATCATTTTTATTATCTGTCTAGCCCACCAATGGAAGAAAATCACAAGTTGCTCTATCTCTTAAATAAAGACAACTTGTTACATTAAGAAATGTCAAGACTCATCAGCCTTTATCCTAAAATTCTGATCCTTTAAAGAGAACAAACATCTAAAATTTTGATCCTTTAATTTTGATTCTTTAAAGAGAACAAACCTCTACTTCACTGTATTGGATTGAACATTCAGTGATGTACGAGGAGGAGCATGGGCTTTGAAGTCAGAAGACCTGAAATCAAATTCTGTTCTTTCTCTTACTGAATGAATGATCTTAAGGAACTAGCCTAACCTCTCTGAATTTACTTGATTGTAGAATGGAAGTAGTACTGACACTAATTTTACAGGGTTAGTAGAGTGATAATGAGTGAGATAACTATATTTAAAGGTTGATTAATATTAGCTGTTGGCCTGGCATCGAACATATAATCTAGCGCTACATTTGACTGACAACAGCATTGTCAAAAATGTACCATTTTCAACTCAATCACATGAAAATCTGTGAGCTACATGTAAGAATGGACAGAAGGAGCTGGGGATGCATCTCCGGTAGAGCACTTGCCAAGCACATGCAAGCTCCTGGATTGGATCCCCAGCACTGCAAAAAATTAAATAATTTGGAGAGCATGAATCTGTCTGCTCCGGTTTTCTACACTGAACAATTATTCCTTTTGGCAAGTTATTCCTACTCTACTAGCATGGATAAATTGTCCTGGAAGTGAACTGTGAATATACCTTAATGTGAAGCAGACATTTGATTCTTCTATCTATGCCCCTTCCTCTTTCTGGTCCTTGTTCCAGTTTATCCATACCACTCCTGGATTGCAATAGCAGTATCTTAAAGAGTATCCTTGCCTTTATTTCTTTCTCCTATAACTGCCATCAAATTAACGTTCTTTATAGAAAAATTTCCTAATTGTCTTATCAAGATTATAAGTAGATTTCTTGTTAAACTACAACCCATCACACATGCAGTCAAAGTAGTCATACCTGGAGCCATGATATTTATTCGGCCTTATCATCTACTTCCTTGTATTTGTTCCATGCTTGCTAGGCTTGCTATGCTTCACCACACTTGATTCTCCTTTTATGTTCTTGTCCAACCTAGTAACCTTTTTTTAAGGCCTATTTTAAATCCTACCCTTTTCCTGATCCCTCTCTTGATCACCCAGGCCCATTAAGAGTATTCTCATCTTCAAATGGGCCACAGCAGATTTCAGTGGCACCACATTTATAGTCTTGGCTCCAGTTGTTTGAGTTGGTGATCCAACTCCTTGTCTTTCCAACACAAGTGAGACCTCTGAGCCCTGGAGCTGTATCTTACTGTCTGTGTGATTTACCTTCCTTACCATCCTCTTTCCCCAAACCTCAGCCTTCACAGAGTATGGCCTTCTAGGGAACACACTAAACTGCATGTTATATAACCTTGTCCTTGTGACTTTTGTAGTAACACTAGGGATTTTTGCTGATGTGGGGCTGGATTGAGCCCTGGGGTAATCCTTCATGTTTGGAGACAACAGCAGGTGTATATATGTTTATTTTTTTCTTATTGGTTCTATTTTCTGTAGTATGCTGGCTAATACAGAAACTTTTGATGGAGCTTTTTGCTGAATGTTTAGTACAGTAAAGTTTCTTAGTGAATGTTCAGAATAAGAAGTTTAACATAGAGAGTCCATGCCAGATAAATTGAAATTCATGTAGATTAGATATCCAGGTTGGCTAATTGTGATCATTACAGTGTCCACAGTTTCATTGCATCTGTGTCCTTGGAGTCTCCCAACACTTGAGTCTGAAC